CTACTGCCTTTTTAACATGGTGGCAGGAGGTTTTCAATAGCTCGGGCCCAGGTCCGAATCCCGAAGAAAAGGCACCGTTATTAATAATTGCATAGCAGCTTTGCGAGACCTATAAATCTGACTTAACGAGATCCATAAATCTAGCTTGGGAACACTTCAAATACTATCAAGCCAGAAGTCCTCTCGAAAGGTTGTTGGTACTGGAAGAGAGGTAAGAGATCTTGAGGTGTTTTATTAAATTATTATCCCTGTACTTTAATATTCTCCAGGGTATGTTTTAAAAATTGTCCCGGTAGATGCATATTAGACTATGTCATTATCTTCAAATAACAACGAAATATCAAACGAAGATAATGATTATAATAATGATCATGTACACATTAAAGTTCGCAAGTTCTTCCTTTTAATATTTTAAACATTAAAAAACCTTGGCGAAACATAAATGCAAATAAATTTCCTTATATTGTATCAGTCTTGTATACACAGATGGTTAGTTTTTTAGACTATTTCAAAACTGACCTTCAATGCTACGTTTTAATCATAGACCAAGGAGTAAGTAATAGACTGTTAATTAGTTTGGTGATCTTAACTCTTGCAAACTTTTAACTTGTTATTTTCCAATGAGGTTTTTAAACAACGAACAAAAGTATTCTGAAACAGGATGCTTGTTCCTTGGTAATAGACTTTAGTCCAATGTAGTGCAGGGTCAATGATATACAGACTGCAACTTAATAGTTCATCGCATACCAGAATCCAGCTCTTTCGGCAACGCTTTTTAATGGAATAATTCTCAGTTTTTTTCATTCTAAAATGCCTGCACCTGGTAATATCTGATGAGGTTGCCATTTAATTTTGGGCGTGTAGCAGTCTGCTGCATTCATGACCATTTAGGGGCGGCAGAAAGTAGAAAACGCCGATTTTTTTCCCTCTTAACAAGAACACCAAGCGCTCTGTTCATTTAAGTATGGTCTATTATGATGCATATTTCGGATTTGGGTGTATTTTGAAAGATTTTCGGAAGATATTTTCCATTGTATGTGGGTGATATGCATCACAAAAGGGTTTGTTGTTTAACATAGGATAAATTATAAAAGACTTGTAAAAAAATGAAGTTTTTTTTTGAAGAAATACTTAGTTTTATGGTAATAAAATCTGGAGAATATTTCTTTGTTTTTATGCATGTCTCGAAGAATTATTATGCCCAGATTTAAGCTATTTAATAAGGTCGTGCAAGATACTTTCTAGATTTTATTAGTCTTTCAGCTGGCGTTGTTACGTTTCCCGTTCCGCCTAAACATATAAAAATATCTCACTGATAAACTGTGCTTTTGGTTTAATTACGTGTGCATAGTTTTAGAAAATTTTGTCTTCTAGGCTATTAATTTCTAATGCTAGCTGAAAATATACATTTTTGTACTTGATTGACATGAAGTAATTAAGACGTTTGAAAATCGAGCTTACAAACATATTATCATCGTAAATCACAGACTTTATCACGATAGTTCTTATATATTCAGCTGTTAGTTAAATTAAGCTTGTATTTATATTTTCTACGGTGAAAGATTTTGAATTTAAGTTAACAAAATTTACCTGAAATTTAAAAACAGCTTCGCAGAATGACATTCAGGTCAATTAATGAGCACATTTCGACTCGAATTTGATGTTCAGCAAATGAATATGAAACCAACATTGTAAAAACACTTTGAAGAAATCCTCAGAGATTGATAACTCAATGCAGTAAATTATAATATACTCTCTGTTTTTTTTTTTTTTTTTTTTTTTTTTTTTTTTTTTTTTTTTTTGACAAGGGTATGTGTGATGTATTGTCGACGTAAATTAACGAAATGCATAAGGGTGCTAACTCTCCGTCTGAAGAGGCGCTGAAAGATAATTTCTGAGAGTGATCATCGTCCATTCTATGTTTTAGTTCATAAAACCGTTCTGCTGGGGGGGGGCAAGGGAGTGTACTATATAGATTACAAAGAAAAGTTATTTCTTTCACACTGCTTATTAATTTTCAATAGTCTGAAGACATCTAGTTTCTAGAATTCTCTCCATACTCGATAAAAAAAATTAACCTTATGAACCTGCGGATTTCACAGTGCGTTTTACTGTTTGTTTTTGGGTCCAGCAGCGGCCGAGCGGTATAGTCGCTGAACATTGATAGTTCGATCCGCGGCTCGAATCTTGGCGAACTGTATGGGTGTTTTCGAGGTTTTCTCTATGTGTAAAGTGTATACGAGCCATTTTCCGTCAGAAGTTCCTCACGAAGGCATCCGTTCCCATAAGGCAGCTAGCCCTCTAGAGGTTTACACTACGAGGCAGTTACACTTAAAACGTTCCCCAAGAAGACATTTCTTCCATTAGGCAGATAGCCCTCGAGTGCTTTGCCATAACCAAACCAAGCCATTTGTTTTTAGTTTCAAATTAGCTTTTCTGATTGATTTCCTTGTATACCGTACATTTATCTCACATTAAAAGTTATTTAATTAAATATAAGAATATAACTTAATCTCCACCAATATTTTATTTATTTTACTCAGTTTCAACTAACGTTTATGCAACTATAATTAAAATAAAAGATATAAAATATGAATACACTGATTTACAAACCATACAGGATAAAATACGAATGCTGTTTACGAACAGTATCATGATACATAAAAGATAATTTAATTTTTTCAATAAAAACCAGTATCGTATTGCAGTATAATTAAGTAAAAGAAATGAGTTACTAATCGAAGCACAAGTTACATGTTTGATTTTTTTTCTTCTACCTTTCTTACCAGTTGACCAATTAATTCTCTTACAATATTAATTTTTGCATTTTATGTAAAATATTCGTGTCAGACATATTGCGTATCATCAACATTAACGAAGCCCCATCCATGGAAAATACGTCAAATTAGTTAAAAAGAAACTTAATTACAATTAGTTAAACGCGTGCAAAACATAAAGAATAAGCGTAATAGCTTATATGACCTTTCTAGTGTAGTAAATTATCTCATAAGCTTTACATGAATTGCAATTTGTGAGCGAAAAGGCAGATCAACTTAGTGTGTTCTGTATCTCCATAAATATTTTTGTATCAGTTGTCGACTACTGAGAACAGAAATAACCCGATATGAAAGATATACTACATTCAGCATTTAGAAGCGATAAGAAATGTACTCGATTTCAGGAGAAGTCGTTACGCATCGTTAATGAACCAAATGCCGAAGGAAAAAAAAAATACGTTGCTACGGAAACCGTAACTATACACACAAAGGAGAGCAGAGTGTTGAGGAATTAATTGCTTTCGTTATTTGTTTTCAGTTGAAATACGGATCTCTTTACTAAATATGTATAAATGTTTGAAAAAATAAGGTGTCACGTTGATTTCATCAGTTTTGAGTTGTATTTGTTGTGAACTGTAATCACCAGTAACTCGAGACTTTTTTAATATTTGCATGGCATTTAAAAGCGCTTTGCTTATCAGTAGATATTTTATTAAGTATTCCATTTCCATGCTAGGAAAGATATGTTCATTTGGTCACATTCTTCATTGAAAATATTATTTTTTCACAAAATTATATTTTCAAAGAAATTTATTGTTATGATCAGATAGGTGATAAATATTAAATAACACTTTCTTTGCATGCTAAATAACCTTGTTAAGTTTTGTAAACTATTAAGAAGGGACATTTAAAATTTAGATAAAAAAACAGCCTTATTCTGGCGTAGATTTTGATCAAAATTTTATTAGTTTCGTGAGCGATCAGATGCAAATCCCTCTTCTTTGGAAGAAGGGAATATGCAAAATGACAGCAGGGACAGCCATTGTTATACCTAAAGCAAGTGAATAAGGATCTGAGTGTGATCGCCCTAGAAATCAACAGAGTTTTATTTAAAACCTATACCAGACTAAGGTTGATTTTCGCTGAATTTTTAATTTCACTTAATTTGGAAGTATTTCACAGCAGAGGACAGATAGAGCTGGTACATTCGAGAACTTAGATAAACCATCATTACTGTATGCTCTTTGGGATGGTATACATTATAGCTATAGCTGCTGGGGGATGGCAATCTGCAGCCATAAGTAATGATGATGGCCTTCACATGTGGGGCTGGAATGAAAGTGGTCAGTTGGGATTTACTTGCATTGAACTCCAAAGCGGTAAGTTACCACTAACAAAAATTGAAATTATTTCTTGTCTTTCAAAAAATGATGAATTTAAAGAATGATTTGAAAGTCATCGTTGTTAGTTGTTGATCCCGTCACACAATAGCTCTTACTGGTACATGGTTACTTACGCTAATATTTCTCTGTTTCTAATGATATAATGTCGTGCTAAACGGTATTGTTTAAGCAATATTCTTCCTGTAGCACAAAGAATTTCTAAATTAAAGCTTCTATGCCATCAAATTAACCAAAGTCACAATTTCGAATTCACCTCAGTGTGAAAATATCCAATCCATTTGCTAGGTCCAGATAATTTGATGAATAAAATAGTTTATCATAAAAGGAAGTTCTTGAGTTCTGAAATCATTCGGATGCGGTTAAGATCTTAATAATATTTAGATCAATATGTCTTTAGGATTAAAAAGGTCACTGTTCATTGGCACACGAGTAATACAGTTAGTTATATTTCGTGCAATCTTACCTTGGCAATCTTTTCTTCCTTCTTGATGAAACAGCAGATTTTTCATTTTTAAAGCCAAGCAGTTACCACGGTAAATGCACCAAATAATCTTTCATTGCCGAATATTTCTACAGAAGAAGCAGTTCTGTTACTTGAAAAATACTGTTGCGATGTGAAGTATTTGGGTAGCCGTTTATTTTATAATATAATAAAAGTTAAGAGAATACTGAGTGTCTTTACTTGTCAATATCATAATGAATCTGTATTGCCTCTTGCTGTATTAAGAGATAGAGTGGAGCTTATGAAATATATTTTCTCTCTAGCACTAAAATGTCTGTATTGCATTCTGATTTTTCACAATGAATAACTCTCTTTTAGGAGAATGTTTCCTACCTTAAGGGTTTCGTTTTCGGGAGTAGAAACGATCGAACCCTTGCAGCATGGCTCCAATTACAAATATTCTGTACTTATGGACATCGTACCAGTAGACCAGAAAAGGTATCGGTATGCCTACCATCGGTCATCATGGCTGGTGGCTGGAAAAGCAGATCCCCCCTCTCCAGCACGGTTATACACTCATCCTGATTCTCCTTTCACAGCTGACCAGCTCCGAAAACAGGTGGTGTCTTTCGAAAAGGTCAAACTGACCAACAATGAGATGGACAAACAAGGACATGTAAGCAAAGTTTTTTTTTTCTTTCCTTCTGTTTTATGTACGAATATGGCTAATAACCGGCTAGCAGATTTTACAGCTATTTGAAATTCTTTATCTCTTGTTAGATCTGTTTTACTATTATTAAAGCAACAAACATGTCATTTGGTATTAGAGTGATTAATATTTTTATGCCGCACAGAGAACTTTTAAATGTTTCGTTCGATGTTCATTAGCATATTCGGCATTTGTAACAATATTTTGATTTCTTTAAACGAAAGTAAGTTCTTAAATCCAAAGGTAAGGATCGAGAGTTTTAAAATAGCCTAACCTGATCGAGAGTTCATAAATTAATCACAAAATATCTATGCGAATAAAAATTACGTATGCTTTATTTACATTACAGGATTGATAATAATTGGTAAACATACGTCTTCGTTACTGTTAAGCTTAACATCTTCACATTCGCTCTTTTAAATTATTACTATTTTTTTTCTGAATTTATCATGAAAATTAAAATGTATTTTGAAGAGTCAAGATGCCAGAGACATCGCATAACGGTTGGCAAGATCAGTGTACAAAGGGTGAAAACATCGTGCAGAAAACAATGCAAGGGGAAAAAAGTGTCAGAAAGAAAAACAAGAAGAAAACATCGCAGTTAATCGTGGTAGAAAACATCATGGCAGAAAATAAAGCGGGGCAGAAATTCACAGACATACGTTTTCTGAATGAAAACATATTGAAGTGACTAGAAGAGAAACACGCTAATGTGACAATCAAAATCGTAAAAACAACCTTGTATTTAGCGTAGGTATAATGAAACACTCAATCGATTTCGAGGGCAGCTAAAGGTCCCTCTTCATCAGGAAAAAGAAATACCTAGAAAGAAGAAAATAAAGGAGAAAAATAATAATAAATAAAATAGAAGAAAATAAAGGAGACTCTGATTAAAAATCTAGTTATAACCACGTGCAGTGCTGATAAGGACCACGTGTTTCTGTGACTCCTTCTCCTTTATTTTCTTCTTTCTAGGTATTTCTTTCTCCTGATGAAGAGGGACCTTTAGCTGCCCTCGAAATCGATTGAGTGTTTCATTATACCTACGCTAAATACAAGGTTGTTTTTACGATTTTTATATTGAAGTGAATTTTCGCTTAATGATTTGTGACTACAAGAAAAGTAAATAACATTTTTTCCTCTATTTTTCGTATTTTTGAACCAACTAGTAAATTTCTACTGAAAAAGCAAGAAGGAAACTTAAGCATTCAAAATATGGAAATTACTAAAAATTAATGCTATATATAGCAGCTAATAGAATTTATGCAATTTCCTCTTCCTACTCTTTTTTATACTATATTTTTTCATGAAAATCTACTTTAACAACTTTATAAAACAGGTTAATTAAATAATAATTTTTAACAGTTATCAGCATAAGTTTAAAATTCCATTAATTTCTATATATAGCATTAATTTTTACTAATTTCCACATTTTGGTTGTTTATGTTTCCCTGTTACTTTTTCAGTAAACATTTATTTGTTAATACAAAAACATGATATACAGTGGTAAAAATATTACTTATTTCTTTTATGCTTGCAAATTATTACGAAAAAATTCACATGAAATTTTTCAGTTAGAAAACATAAATCTGCGATGCTATTATCATGCAATGAATTGTAGGTGTTGTATTCTTTACCAGGATGTTTCGTACCGATGATGAACTAAAACTGTAAAAGTTTTGCACCGCTTTATTTTCTACCACGATGTTTTAGAACTGCTTTCTTTTCTCCTTCCTTTCACGATGTTTTGTGCAACGACCTTTTTTTTTCCCCTTGTGTTGTTTTCTCTGCGATGTTTTCGGCGAACACATTTGCAACAATGAGGCAGTCTTAAGTGAAGATAGATAGCTTTAATTTTACCACCCCCGTAGTTAAATGTTCTAGGCATGCGTTCTTTCGGATGTGAAATTCTGAGTAAGAATGAAAATTTTTATTATCTATAAATGTTTAACACATAAATTTCGATTCGCACTTGTTTCTTGTAATGACCAAGTCTGTCCTAAGGTTTTATTTAATATTATGTTAATTATGGAAAACTGTTAGTTCTTTTAATTGCTTTAAGATAACTAATTTTACAAATCGTTTGTTTTAGAAATTTCACTGCTAAGCGAATGAATCCAAAGCGTTTTTTATAATTAAAAAATTCTGAAAGGTTTGTCTACATCTAAATAGCAATGTAAAAGAGCACAGGAAATAATTACCAGTTTTATTACTTGTTTTGCAAAACTCCAAGGTGGGGGAGGATCGGGGTTATTATGGATAATTTTCTGATCAGTCTATTATAATGGCCATTTTAATACAGATAACTGTTTCACTTTTGTCAATATGAATCGCAGTGAATATGTCAGCAATCTTTTTAAATCATTAACAAGCTAAGAGCCACGAGAACCACATATGTTATTTAGAATGGAATTTCCTAGTCGGATTGCCAGAAATATTGAGATGATCAGAATATTGCGAATCGAGAAGGAGGGAAGTTTAGGACCAGAAAAATTGCGTGCCTCCGTTGGGATTTTAACAAGTTGAAAGGAGGTTTTTTTTTTTTTTTTTTTTTTTTTTTTGTTTGTTTGTTTTTTAAATTTACGAAAATGTAAGAACAGGTAATATAATTGAGATTAGTTGTCCTCTTTTTTTATGAAGGTATGATCAATTAAAAAGTAATTTTCAGTTTCAAGGCAGTTCAATTTTGTTTTTCGCCTGTTCCACATTTCATTGACTTCGTGCGTAGTAATAAATTTTAAGATTTTTTTGGGCTTATTTCATTGGGGTAGAACTATTAAGTGAGATATTTGAAAAAATGAAACTTAAATTTCTAAATTTCTTGTAGCTGCATCACTAACTTGCATTGCAGAGTATTCGCCACACTGATTTATACAGACTAAGTGACTGGATCTAAAAAAAAAAAAAAAAAAAAAAAAAAAATTAATGACATTAAAAATTCTTTTTACAAAAGTTCCATCTGGAATTTAATCAGTTTAAAGGTATGAATGTAGTTATAACAATATTTACGTATGTGTGCTTTGAGAGCTGAAAGTTATCGTATATATTCCACCACCAAGAAAGGTTTAAACATGGCTGGTCGCTTAGAAAGTTATGTTTCTGATGATGTTATAATGAAAAATATTTCTTCCACCTGTTATTGTGAAAGAAATATTTGCATACAGTCAGTTATTGTAAGTTCAGTACTCAACTCCAGATTAGAATACGGAATATTTTTATGTGTTTTCTACTCCTGAATTCCTGCTGTGTCTAATGTAAATTCCAACCGTGAAAACCTGTGAAGAGACTGAGATCCTGCATTTTTACATGCGGCTGTGAAAAAAAATAACCATTGTAATTGAAAATCACTGAGAGATAAAGAAGCAAAAGAAGAGAAGAATTTCCATTTTTTTACGCCTTTCCTAAATTGACAAAATAAAAAAAAAAAAAAAAAAAAAAAAAAAAACTTCTTATGAAAGTAACCATATTTTATCTAACCAACACACAAACCAAGGATATGGTCACCACGTCGTCTTATGTCACGGTTGTTACTTTTCTACTCCTTGATCTTTATCTTTGGGGTGGTTGACAAGTGGACATGTTTATTTCTTTATTTATACAATGATAAATAGATGATTAGTCCTTTGACGTCTGATGGCAGGTGTTCGTAGATTGAAATTCGTGTATATAATAAGGTGCATGGGGGTAATATTTTTCACCTGCTGCGAAAGCAAAATCTTTTTGTAGACAGTATTTGACCTCATTAAAATATATAATATACTGTTAAAAATAGCAGGGTATACAAACAGCTTAATCTCTTTTTTTTTTCTGCTGTCATGTTTCCCCATATTTATTTCCATCCTCAGGAAAATAAATATGTACATTTTTACTGATTGGTTTAAAAGAAAGAAACTCCACAATCTTCGGTTTGCTTAATTTAATCTTTACATGCATCAAAGGTTAACCTTTGGTGCATGTAAAGATTAAATTATGAAATGTCGAGGATATGGGGCAAAATGAAGTAATATAATATAATATTTCTTGCAAGCGGATAACAATGAATTGATAAATATTAGCCCGTAGTAAATAGAATTAATTTTAAAATCCTGCATATGCAAGAAATAAAGCTAATTTCATTTCTTACGGAACTGTTTCAGTGAAACTATTTTGCTTACAAGCTTTAAGCACAAGTTGTTTAAAATTTGTTTTCTGATATTTACAGATAGTTCTTAATTCTATGCACAAGTACCAACCGAGAATTCATTTAGTACGGCGCAGGAATACCCACGGTTCTGGCGGTCCTATCACGGATCTTGAAGCAGAAGAATACAGGTCATACATTTTTCCGGAGACCGTCTTCACAGCAGTTACAGCGTACCAAAATCAGTTAGTAAGTAAAGTTTTTTTTTCAAATAAGCATCAAATTAAAGAAGGAATAATCATTTTTCGCTCGTTTCAAAATAATATTATAAATTCAGCTTGAAAATTAGGCTGTAGCTTTGTAAAGCATAAAAATGTTATAAATGTACTTTTGTCTATAGTTATATAATACACTACAATCCGGAATAATTTAAAGAGTCTGCTATTATTATTACTTTTTAAATCTCTGCTTTATTTGAACCTCTGGATTCTTAGATTTATAAAACATACGACTGCTGTAAGTGCATTGTGATCTACAACTGTATATCACAGTTCGCAATAATTTAAATAGTCTGCTATTATTAGTACTACTAGGTAGCCTGTAGTTTAATTGAACTTTCTGAATGTGATTCGGCTTGTCTGGATTTCAAGAACTAACGTAGATGCATAATATTTTAGTTTTTAAGACCGAAATTTAGAACCGAATTTGAAATATACTTTGCAGAAGGAACTTTAATTATGAAAGTTAACGACAAATAAATGAAGCAGGTATAATTGAGTTTGTAAGATTTATTATTTAAATTAACTAGTTATTTATAATTTTAGCCTTTATTATAACTTCTCCTTTCCGTTTTCTCACCAAAATGTAAATGCGTTAAAGAGTATTTAAACTGAGGTTTTTGGATTGTAAGGCAGAACGTGTTTCTGTCTCTCGCGGCCGTGTTACGTAGTTCCTATCAGCTCTGATAAATTTATAATGCTTCGGCCTTTGCGTTATTCCTGCCGACATTTAAATCTGATACTTTAGTTAGAGTGTTTGAGCCAGCTTAGATTTAAATTTAATTGTGCAGTTTTTGACTACTAGTCTACGTTTTAAATTTGAATATGATTGTTACTTTAGTTTTATCGCCACAAGCAGTGGTTGATTCTGTTAGCACAAAAAGTGCGTTTATGTTCAAAGTTCAGTTTTAATAAAAAGGTTGTTTAAGCTTTTTCAAGATTTTTTAAGCTTTTTTTTTTTTTTTTTTTTTTTTTTTTTTTTTTTATGTAATAGTTAATTCAGACAAGCGATAATTCGCGTTACGTCTGTTAGGAGTTTGGAACTAGTTTATGTTTCAAAAGCAAGCCAAAGTGAATTGGAACATTCATCTGAAATTACACTACGAATGAGGATTGGGACTACGAATAATGACTGGTTTGTCATTACAAGAACATGTTTTGTTCTACAAAGAATAATTAAAGAGGAGCTTAATTCTTTATATACTATAAACAAAACATATTCTGAGGCAGCTGAATAACCATGGCTTTAAATAGGATTTGAATGAAATAATTGTCTAAATTTCTAAGTTTGTCCAAACACTCAAAGTCCATACCCTCTTTTACGGACAGACATGCTACAACTCGATGAAGAAACCATCTTCTCATGACTTCTATATAAGATGATATGGGCTTAAACGTGATCTTATGAGGCCCGCAAGCGGCTGAGAGGGAAAGTCGCTAAACACTGGTAGTTCTGTCCGAGGTTCGAATCCCGCAATGGATTCGAACCTCGGACATGTATCTGCATGAACGTTTTCGTTTTTACCCCATGTGTAACGTATATACGAGTCAGTTTTCCTTAGAAAGTCTTCCACTAAGGCATACCTCACCTTAAGCAGATAACCCTCGAGTCCTTTGCCGTAATGAAATAAGCCAAACCATAACAAACTAAACGTGATCTTATCTGGGACTCCATTCGAAATTGCTGTGTAAGTTAATGTCACTAGTCCTGAATAGTCATCTTTACCTTACATCAATAAACATGTTTGCCATCAATAGTCACCTTAATGACAATACCCATCTTTACCTTAATACAAATTGAATGACGTGACAAAGCTATCGAGCTTGATTATAACCAACACGTAAAATTATTTTAACGATCATAGAAATTTCAATTTACCCCAGTAACTATACAATTATGTAAGAATTATTATATTATTACGAATATATTTTTGAATGGACAGTGCAAATTTTGGTAACAATGTAAAACGTTAACGAAGATAAAGCTTTCGGCTCTGGTCTATGATGACTAAAATTATTCAAAATCAGCGTGCAACAATTTTCCATATTGAAAGTAAAGTGAACATTTTGATTATTTCTTTTGCAAGGACTGGCGCATATAGTGATACTTAGCACCTTCCGAAAAAATTTTACAACTTAATAGCTATATTTGAATTAAGAAATATTAAGTGCACGTTTTTTAAAATTATGTACTTAAAATCTTTACAGTTTAGTAAAGCTATTCGAATTATTAATTGCTATTAATAACTCAGATATCAAAATATTCAAATTATTCAAGAATTCGATAGGAGATACTAAATGGCTAATAACTTAAATTACAAATAAATAACTTGCCTTTATTTTTAATATTGTTGCGTGCATACGGGTTCGTAATAGATTGAATGCACACAGGTCTGATGATGGGTTAATAAAATTTATTTTTATCAAATGAAACACTTGAAAGTCCTGTAATTGTCCATAGAAATGCTCGTACAGGTGTTCACAGTATCACAGAATACAATCCGTTGTTACGCTTCAGACTAATAAGAGCGTTAAACTCAACGCAATGCAAAGCTCATCTAAAGAGGAAGCTCCGGGATATCTCAGTTCAGGCTGAAATAACAGCTCGCAACAATAACTGAGAGAGAGCAGATGCTCTCTCCGACCTTACATAGCTTTGTACCGGCCTCCGAGATATTTTTAGTACTTTCTGCTTTTCGAAATTACTGCAAAGCAATATGAGGGTCGAATTACGGTTACAGCTAACATAGTGGTCAATTACATTTATTCAATTACAATACCTATTACGGTGACACAGGGACTGGACCCAAATGTTGAGAAGTGGTTGCCAAGTTAGGCGACTTTTGACGACTTCTCGCCAAATTTGGCGACAAAATAAGTGGCCAGAACCTTTTGTCAGCTGAGCGATATCTCACCAAATTACCGAGATAACCATTTACTCAATGTTAATTGCACTTGCCCCTGTATTTTGTTTTCCGGCATAGCTTTTCTCCCTTAGATTTTTATGTTATATTACACAGAAAAATACAACAATTTCACATATAACTGCACTAAAATCATCTAGCTATGTACAAATTCGTAACAATATGTGATTTATAAAAATAATGCATGGTTCTACAGTTTTCTGTTGCATTGGTTTTTCACTTTATAAATTTGTTGATTTCTTTTAGAATAATAAAAACTATAAAGTAGATTTAATTCGTCTCTTATACAGTCAGAAATGATTATAATGAAACAAAAAATTTATGCTTAATTTTCGTTATAATCAATGCACTACATACTGTTATTTCAGTTTATTAACAGTTAAGGTATTCATGTAAATATTTGAAGGCAATGATTTCGAATCCCGAACAATTATTTCCTTCTTTTCTATCTTCTGTAGAAAACGTCTGTATATTTCTCAATTTCGTTACAAATCTATTTGACTGTCTTTCATTTTTCATTTTATATAAATCTAACTAAAATTTGTTGTTGAAAATTAATTTAAGTATTCAATTTTTCTCTTTGCAGATCACCAAACTAAAAATAGACAGCAATCCTTTTGCGAAAGGTTTCCGAGATTCTTCCAGATTAACTGAATTCGACAGGTAAGCAGCTTTTTCTTTCTACCAAAATTTCGATTGTGTAGTTTACTTATTTCTTTAAATGAAATATTTCAAAGCAAACAATTATAATTACTTCATAACGAGCGCAATCAACAACCAAATGACGCGTTATTTGCTAAAACAACAAAAAGCGCATTTTCAGAGTTTCAAATTACACTTGCAGCGTGCTTATTTTCTCATTATTTTCAATATTTTCTATCATCGAAGAAAGGTTTTAAATTAGAAAATTTCAAGCAATTTTTAAAGCAGATTAATATTTTGAAGAATATATATACAATTTTTTGGGGGTAAAGGAAGTTTGCCCAATAAATTCTCATCGTATGTTTGTTAGATTTTTATGCAATTATCATGATTAAAATTTCTGAAGTAATTAAAAATAAAATGAATAAAAGAAAAATGAGAAAAAATTTAGAAAAATTAAAAGTTGCTTTTTTATGACCAGCTAAATTACATTTTAATTCCATCATATTTGCTTTTATCGAAAAAACTGTTTTAAGAAAATATTTGTTATATTTGATATCGATTGAGAATATAGATAAACAGATGTGAAACGAATTCTTTTTTTCATTCTGACTGAAATGGGAATCTGTTTTTATTCTAATTGAAACGAAGAATTAATTCTGAAGAATTAATTCTAAATTAAAACAGAATTTGCGAAATTTTGTCTAAATGAAAAGCGGGAAAATAAAAAGTAATCTTCATAAATTAAAATTCTATAAAATAATGGTTGGGGCGAATAATAATAATAATAATAAAAGGCTAAGAAGATGGCGTAAAATTATAAAGTAGAACTCGATTTCATCTTTATCAGTTTTTAAAATCATTTCAGGTTTTAGAACACAATAACAACAACACATTTATTTTTTGAAATATATATACGGTAAGTTATAAAACTAGGCATTAAAGAAAAGGAAATGATACTATGATTTTGTTTACTTTATTTGTAATAGTTGTTTATTTGCTTGTACTGAGTTTTGTAAACAAATAAACCTACCCGCGAAACAAAGCTATTTTAGATCTGTTTCTAACCTCATCCTACGGTTATAGTGTAATGCATAAAATTATTTGCTCCAAGTTTCGGAAGCAAGTAATCAATTCCATACGTGCCAGGAGTTTTATCAATTTTATCACGTATCAATATTTTTTCGCGATCGACATTTTCGCTCAGAGAAATTAGGTGTACGATTTGCACTAGCACGACTTTAGCCTATTCCATTGTACCGGAATTCTCATTTATAGATTAATTCGTATCATAGTATTTAAGGGGCCGTTTATTAGACGTAAAAGACTTGTTTATGTTCAGTTAATTCCCTTGCCATCTTCAAATAATATCCAAATTTCGAGCTCCCTCGGAGGAAAAGAAATAAAATTGAAAAGTGCAAAACACTCAGTTCTGTACCTTTTCCAGGAAGGAGGAGAAGAATAGTAACATCAACACATGACACATGCTGAGAACAGACAAGAAAGAATACACAGAAATCTTCAGTAGAGAAATGGGAATTCTCGGGTGACACGTTACGGGCAATTGGCGACCTTATCGTAGAGGGATTCATTCATTCGGTGGGAAATCGTGGAAGGAAATAGTTCCCTTTCTAGTTTTCCGTAAGATATATGGCCTACTTGAAACTGTCTTCTTTGCGGTAGGTCAGTAAAAAGGCCGAAATGACGTGAGAAATAGCTCGGAAGTTAAATTATAATTAATTTTAGGAGCTGATTTAAGAACCGATGTAATTAGAGTTATGCATATAAATAGATGGCTATTTTGACAAGCAGATAGGCTGAGAAAAAGACAAAGACAGTAATTGATTTAAATTTCTGTCCCCAGTGAATATGAGTCACATTGTTGAAAAAACTACCTATGTTATTATATCCGTCTTCAGTCTGATTTTAACGAGCAATACGAATACATTTAGGTACGCATTCCTAATGATATGGTTTAAAAATGCACAGTAAAAAGTTAGCTGTCTGAAACTAAAAACTGTAATTCATCTTAAAAAAGATTTCACATCCTTCATAAATTGTTGAAATGAATGAGTCTGATTGATGCATCATTTCATATCGAAGAAGTACCTACGATCACGTCAGTTATGTATGCTTACTCTGTTTTAAGGTATAACTGTAGTCTGATTCTCCGATAGATTGATTTGCTAGATGGTTAATTCAATTCAAAGTTCGATATCTGTAATGATTTCTCGCCCTGTGTCTTTTTTTTTTTTTCATCCATGTTTTGCGCCTTCGAAATTTAAATCCTCGAAAAAAGTAGCAAAAGTTTGCTTTAGAAGTTATGTGGCACATAGTATAAAGGAATTAGTGTAGATTGTTTCATACTGATCGTAAAGGATTTTGTTCCAAAATATTAATTTAGTTGCTCTCGTGATGATTATTTCTATTGCGTGCAAATTACACATAATTCTTATCGTAAATTACACAGGTCTATCTGTGTAAATGAATCATGAAAACATATGCATAAGTTTAATTTCTCGAATTAATTTTTAGGAAGTATCATTCGATTTGCATCAGGACAAGCATATTTGTGTTTTTGAATTTTTATAGATACGTTTCTTGTTCTCCACAGGGATACAATGGAAGCTTTAATTGGGGACCCAGCCTATCTTCATTCACCGTTTAGGGCCCTCCTAGAACATCCTGAACGTGAAGATCTTCAAGCAGCTCTGGCGAGAGAAAACCTTTTAGGACTGCGAAGCCCCATCCTCCCATGGAAACCCACGGGTCCCTTGCCGTCTTTCACGGACACTTACGGCATGCTAGCGAATCTGCCAGCAATGTATGCCATGAATCCGGCTAGTAGGGCCCATATGTGGGCGCAGTGGGGTGCAGGAGGCCTGGGCCATCATTTAGGACTATTATGTGCTGCGAGTGCTGCTTCTTCTCAACCATGTGGCGTTCTTAGGCCTGCATCGCTTCCTCCAACGGAAGCATACGGCATCCATCGGTACATGCCATACTTTTACGGTGCTAAGAAGGACTCCAACGATGTAAAAGACAGTTCTGCTAATCACACTCCATTCAGGTGAGGATCTTGAATGAAATTCTAGACTTCTTGTTATTCGCGAAAGCTGAGAAAAGAGACTTTCAGAAGATGGCCGTTTGTTCCTTCTGTTAAAGAAGAATGTAGTGATGAACTGTCACCAGATAAATGTTTCCCGGTTACGAAATATTATTATTGAGATTGTGTACAGATATCTACAAAAGGAAGAGTGCTCAGTTTAAGTTCCTGCTTAAGACACTCATTCTGAATAAATTCAGACTTTGTGAGAGATAGATTTCTAAATGAACTCTGCTGTACGAGCTCATTCAAAAATGTATATGTGTGCTATCCAAAAGCTGAATAGAGAAGTTATAATTCAGCTGTAATATTAAATTTAATCATTTTTCAAAACTGACGGCATATTAAGACTAAATTTCAAATTCTTAAATGTGAAATTATAATCGAGTAATAGTAGAGTAAGAAAAATTCCTCGTGATCTTAAAACTGATTTTTTAGAGAGATGCAGTATTGACCTTTTATAATTATCTGCAGTTTTAATAAATAGATGAATTAAATTCTAAATGAACAGAAAGTTTTTTTTTTTTTTTTTTTTTTTTTTTTTTTTTGTTTTGTTAAAGGAGAACTACGAGAACATTTGTTAAAGGAACTGAGCTTCAAAAAAAAAGTTTTTTTTTTCAAACTAAATAAATACGTTTTAATTTGTGAATTTCGGATACTTTAAGAAAACTTGATACAATTCCTTAGACAAATTCTTCATTTTTAGTCAAATATTGGTAAATATCAGGAAGTAAAGATTATTAAACAAATTTATGACTCTCTAAAATAAGATAAACAGTGGAAGTAATAAGCACTAAAAATGAAGGAAAACTTCCGTGTTTAGCTTTTGGATATTTTGCAACATGTAGTGTATAGTTTTCATCTTTAAAATTCTGTGCTTTCAAATGAAGACAAAATGTTAAATTTAGATAATATTGAATAGTTTAAATTATCATTTGTGAAATGTGTTTTACTTAAAAAAGAGATGAGCAGCCAATATCGGTTAGTAGCATAAAGACCCTATTAAAGTTTTAACTTAAAAAAAAATGTAAAAATTCTGTTGTACATTTGACAAAGGGGGGGACTAAGAAATTTAAATACAACTTTTAAGTACAAATTAATAATAAACAGCAAAGAAAATGAATTGAATTAATTCAGAAAACCAAATATTGCATGTAATTCCAAAAATTACAAAAGTAAATCATGTTTTTATTCCTGTGATATTATGTTTTGAAAGTGCGCGTTAGTTTTAAAATTTTTTTTTGTTGCAGTTTTTGATGTTAGCTAAATCAGAATGTTGTGCGCTGCATATAACTGCGCAACGTACATTAAAAAATACATCAGATATGTGCGACATTAATATTTATTGATTGACTACACTTCACCATTTCATGATTTGAATTTTTTAAAAGGAAACGTAATTTGAAATAGTTAAAGAAAATTATCGTAAATATGTGTATATAATTTTCATTTACGGTTAATAATATTAGATATAAATTTTCAGCAGGATAAAAAATAATAATCTCTACTTAATTTATTGAAAAAAATAGAAAAATTACATCATGCATAATTTTTTATCATCATACATGATGTAATAAATTATTTATTTAATAATTTATAACCTTCCAAAATTTCCGCAAATTAGGAATAGGGTAAATTCATGCAAAATGCACATGAATGTCTATACTGATCACATGTTTCAAGAAATAAAAAAATAATTCAGCTAATTCATGCACCGTTTCCATTTAAAATAAGATTAATGTGATGCTTATCGGTAAACTAACAATCCTGTAATAAGTATCGAAGATAGAATTGTAACAAATTTCGAAAATAAAGGATTTCAAGTAGTTATTAAATTTTTAAGTAAATGGAATGAAACTGGAATTTTTCTAATTAACGACAGAATATAAATTTCAGCTCTTTCACGTATGATTTTTAAATATGTTATTTAAAACTGAAGTAAATATAAAAGTCAGCTATTAATCATTTTATTAAAATATGGCAGGTTTAAGTTCTTAAGCAATATAACAGAAATTAACTAACAAAAATTATGACAGTTAGATAACCATGATGAAAATTATTAATAGAACTAGTTTATACGGAAAATTAGATTTTCTCCTTGGTTAAGATGATCATCACGATTATGTTAATTTTAGAAAATTATTTTAGCTTCTATGAATCTGAAAGTATTGCAACTTCCTTTTCAATTAAACTCAAAAATCAAAATATTCTACTAATAACTTAAGAAACTTACATAGTACGAAACATGAAATTATAAGAAAAAACGACATATCCTGGCAAGTTATAAATTAAATGTACATTCCTTTTATTCCACCCGAATTTCTCCGTGAGTCAGCATGCGCATGCTAAAAAATAAGAAGTTTCTTGTTTGCTTTCTTTTATAAGTGGCAGTGAAATGAAACAGTTTAAATGTTTTAAGCGATATTATGGATAGGTACAGAATTATTTCGCTCCATTAATTTTTGCTCATAATGTATATTGGGTAATTTAATCCTTTTTTTAAAAATTGTGTTATAAGATTTCTTGTCTGCAAACTGACGCAGTATTTCTTCTAAAAATTCTTTTTATGAATTTTTCTTTGCTTAGACTGGAATTTAACGTACATCATACAAATGCTTTCCTGTATAGCTATTATAAATTAAAAATAGTAATCTGAATGTATTTAAGACATCTAAATCGTTTAACTGTGCGAAACTAATATAGATATAAAGTTTATTTAGGGCAGTTAATACTAATATTAACTGCCCTAAATAAACTTTATAGATTAAACACTACCTCGGTTTTTAACTTGAAAAATCAAATAAAATGAATACAGTGTCCTCTCGATTATCCGGGCTAATGCTGGGGAAAAACACGAATAATCCACGTTATCAATTTTCATGCATATTATATGCATTTATTTCTTTAAAAAATAAGCAGTTACTTTGCTTTGAGAACGTTTAAATATCTGTCGGATTTCACTGCGTGTTTTTCGAAATACCATTTTATTCAAATCCCATTTCATCGAGCAAGACCAACAGTGTTTCAGTAGAAATAATTACTGTATCAGAACTGATGTAGTGAGTTTTTAGGATTTTATCGCTTGTATTTTGAGTATCACTCTCTGCCTCTTCTGTTCTTGTGACATTTGGAACGATATCCGCATCACTCAAGCATCAGTTGATCAACTACCGAACCACTCCTCGATTTTTCGCAATGGACATAATCTTTTCAAAAAGTTTAAAAAAAATAATAATAATAGTAATAACTTTAGTTATTATCTCAACTTCTTCCCAATTAGATAAAACTCCAATTTCTGTATTAAAAAATTCTTTCTCGGCATTCAGATTTGCTCGTGCGTGTTTGTTAACACACTCTTGCGCATAGCGCTTTGAGTGTGCGCGGATAATCCGCAAACCGGATGACCTGCATCCGGATAATCGAGAGTGCACTGTATTATGTTTTCCATATAGTATTCAAAAATAAATTCGTGTATAGTCATAACGTAACTATAACTCGATAAGTAATGTATTAAAAAGTATTCATCTTGAAATTATGTTGAACAATCTTATGACATAATAAAATTTTTGAGGTTATTATTTATCTCCTGAAATTAAATAGACCTTTAAATCGAGAACTGCATGACTTTACCAACATATTCTTCCATTCCATATGTATCGAAAAGTGCTAAAAACTGCTTTCTTATCTAATAAAAAGCTTTAAATTTTATTTTTTGTTTAGTACGTTTCCTGCAGTTAAATATTCATTTAGATCGAAGATTGCAAGACTCTACCGATCCATTCTTCCATTTGTGAGAAAAGTGAACACTTGTATATAAAACGAACGGAAGGACACCCAAGACTTTCCCAAAAAGGAACCGTATGTGATTTTTTGCCTCTATTTCCATTCCATTTCTTAATAAGTCGTCTTGTCAAAACACTTGAGATGCTCTTTCATCGGCAGAGTTGAATCGGGTAGTCTTTTAAGTCTTGATGAATGGTAAGTACTGCTGAGCATCAATCTGTCGAGGACTTGTTAGCTCTTTTCTACAAGAAGACAGCTGTTGAGTTTCGTTTTTCAGTTTCAGCTTGGTAATAGTCGGCGGTTCTATGTGGCTTGTCCAATTAAAGCTTATCTGGACCGTTTTGGGTGCGGCAGTAATGGACTGCCAAGGATTCGGACGCGGTTATTTCACTTGACGCCTAGCATCTCATACTCTAATAAATTAAGTTTTTTTTTAATGCTGACGGCCAATATATTTTTCCAAGTTTCTAAAAAATATACCTAATAAAGACTGCAGGATATTCATGAAATACTTTTTTCTTTATCCTAGATTTTTAAACCCGTCTGATTGCTTCAAATTTTGAAGGTATCGCATTTTTTCTTCACCGCAAGAGCGATGGTTGAAGCCAGCTGATCTTCCCCATTGCCAAACACGCCCAACGTATAAACAGAGCAAGTGATTAGCGAGGGAGGATATATTAATATATATATTTAATATGAGCATAGACTGATAGCATTTTATTGGCTTATCTAATTGACTTTAACGTAATGATTAGTAATTATCATAATTCTTGTGGAATCCCCAGTAAGGTTTGCTATGTAAGTACTGCTCATTATAATATCGATTTACTTGTCGATGTTTACTAAATTGCAGTTTTTCACTGTCTTTGGGGAAGTCATCCTAAAAACATGAACAGTTAAATGAATAAAAACTGACCTAATAAATATGAAAATTATTGTAGGAATCAGCGTAATATTCATAAATTTGCAGAACTAGTTGCAAAGATTTATGTACGGAACTTTCTTTTTCAGCTGCAGAAGTGCAAAGGAGATATGTTGAGAGTTGCCACTGATTGGTTTTAATTAAAACACCTAACAACAACAAAAAAATTACAGAGGAACATTTTTTATGTTCATGTCAAAGAAAAAGATAACAGAAAATTTCATTCTGAGTGTCCATAGAAAATTAATTAAGCTGGTCAAAATGCTCGATAATTAGTTTAGGTCAAGTAATAATCATAACAACCTTTTTAAGCTATATAATAAAGTGATATTCATCCATAAATCCATAATAATTCAATCTACAAAATTTGGCATAAACGTGAATTTAAGTCTAGTGAACTGTTCACAGAAAGGATCACTGAACTAAGATACCAAAAATTGCTTCCTGCTGTTTTCCTTTCCTTATTCATATTCATGTTCTCGAAAAAACCCTTTCAAATTATCAAAACTGCGTACATGCAAATGTAAATTTGATGTAAATTTGAGAGTCTGTCATTCAAGTTTAACAAAAAAAGGGTATTTTCCTTCTCCTTTTCGATTTTCTTCATTTGCATTCAAGTTTGTGCAACATGATCGTCTTTCAACAAATAAACATTATAGGTATTTTTCCTTTTTCCTTTGAAATTCAACAATTGCAGCATTCTGTTGTTAAGTTTATGATGAGACATAAATAAAAGCATACGTTCTTAGTTTTTTTTTGTATAGAATTCTAATAGAATATGCACATTTGATTATTTACCAACAGCTACTGCTAAGATTTATAGCATTATTCGAGTTACATTTTGCTTCTTTAAATTCCATTTAGTATCATAAGTATAATGTCTTTTTTAATTTTTAATAGTAATTAATTTAAATTTTACCTTATGATGGCATGTCCGCTTAATGCGATAACTTTGATCGTAGTGCAGTTATGAAAGAATCACATTTTTGTCATTAATCGTAGAGCTGTTGTGATGTATCTCACAATAGCATCAGATCAAATGATTATGAAGTCCAACAGACTAACACTTTTATATTACGGAAGCCTTTGCAATCTTGAGATTAAAAATATGTTAACTTTTCTTCACTTCTTGTGTTTAAAGGGAAGCATGCATCTTAAGAACAATAAACAATGAGAAAATGAATGGCGTTATTTGAAAACAGCCAGGGCACCATATTAGTATTCGCTGTGTAAAAACAATAACCCTTCTCTTCTGTTTATATGAACATTGTTAATTATGAAATTAATATATAATTACCAGCACTCTGTTGAAAAAAATGACTGACAAGGCATGTAAGTTACGTATATCGCATCAATGGTATTTTTTGTTTCATAATTTCAAAGCAGAAAAATATGAACGTTTATTCTAAGAATTTGAGCAATATGGGTGTCCTTCTGCACTCTTTATATAGATATCTTCTTGTTCCTAAGATGCGTTGCCAGGTTCACGCGAAAATTCTGTGATGTGAAATTGCTCAAATGAACTGGCCGCATCTCATCCCAACCTCCAGAGCTGGTGCATGGAATATGACTGTGTAGTTATTGTTTGTCCTTCTGTATAAAGTAAATAAAAATGTACTGAAAGATAATTGACTCCTTATTTTTTATCATTGTTTTTTCATGTGTAATGAAATATTTTATTTCTTTGAGATAAATTATCATATTAAAATTTTTCGTTATTTAACGGCTTGTGCAGTTTAATTTAATTAATTCTACTGAAATATATTAATGTTCG